CTCTGGGAGACCCCCTCCCCAGCCTCCCGCCTCCATCCCCTCTCTCCCCAGAGACATGGAGAAGGGAGGCAGCCCCTCGGCCAGCAGCTCGGTGGCCTTGGCCTCGTCCTCCACGGCCACCTTGAAGGAGGAACTCCTGTGCCCCATCTGCTACGAGCCTTTCCGGGAAGCCGTGACGCTTTGCTGCGGCCACAACTTCTGCAAGGGCTGTGTGAGCCGTTCCTGGGAGCACCGGCACCACGTGTGCCCCGTCTGCAAGGAGGCCTCCTCGTTCGACGACCTCCGCATCAACCACACGCTCAACAACCTGGTGGAGATGATCCTGAAGGAGGAAGGGCAGCAGCAGAGCCGGGCGGCCGCCGTCTGCCCCCTGCATCACGAGGAAGCCCAGCTCTTCTGCCTGCAGGACAAGGAGTTGGTGTGCTTCGTCTGCCAGAGCTCCAAAGAGCACGAAGGGCACAAGATGCGGCCGGTGCAGGAGACGGCGGTGGATTTCAGGGTGAGGGATGCGCCAGGAAAGGGGGACCGATGGCACGGAGAGGCACCCCTGCATCTGAAGGGGTGCAGCCCGCTTACGCCCTGGCACAAACTTGCCAGCGCACGGCTTTGGCTCGTGCACAGCGTGGTTGTACTCGTCGGCGTGCCGGGATGAAAGATGAAGCAGCCGCGCTGCGAGGGTGGGTCCCCATGGGAGTGCCCCTGCCGCATCGCTGCCCGACGCTCTCCCTGCCTAAGAATCCCCCAGTGCCACCCCGCCCCCCGGGGCACGGCCGTTTGCCCTGCGGTAAAGGGGAGCGGGCTGATATTCCAAGGGGTTTGGCCCGGGCCCCGCGTTTCCTTGGCTCGTCCTCAGTGGGGCTGGGCTGGATCTGGCCACGCTGGTTAGTGCAGCAGCTGGTTATTGCGGCAGCGCCTCGGGGTTGGGAGCGTGTTTGGGACGGGGGTTGCACAATTCCCCCAGCCGGGGAGGGATGCGGGCTGGGGAGACAGCCCCGGGCTCCACGGGGCAGGATGGGCCATGGCTGCGCAGGGAGGAGGAGGAAGAGGAGGAGGAGACAGGCTCTGGCCGGCAGCCGGGCATCATGCCAGGACCCGCCGTGTTTCCCGGCCGGGCAAGCAGCAGCTGCCGCCCCTCACCCGCCC